CTAAATAGCCCAGGAGCCGGTTAGGATCCTGAAGTCAAGCACCCACGTATTTTCCTTCCAGAACACCTGGGGTTTGGGTTCAGAGGGTTTAGGGTTTAGGGGCTAGGGGCTCTGGTTTCAGAGTTTAGGGTTTCAGGCTTCAGGTTTCAAGACCGGGGTTTAGATTTCGAAGCTTAGAGTTCATAGGGTTTACGGGTTTCGGGCTCAGGGTAAACGGTTCGAGGTCTGATTCTTAGTTGTGCTGCTTCGTGGGGATTGCCTACAGCTCATGAAGACTTAAACATCTGCTGCGTTTAGGGTTTAGGGTTTAGGGGCCCCTAAACCCCAAAGCCCCACAGCCCCACGTAAAGGGCAGGGTCTCTGAGGAAGACTCATCGCTCCACGAGTCTCACGAGCGCATCCGGCAGAAAACACAGCAGATCATCCAAACCTACACCCACTACCCAGAGGACCTAAAGAAGATATAGAATCCGATAAAGTAATCCCAAAGAGGAACCAAACGACAAAAGCAATCAAAGCAAGACTTTGGATATAGAATCCGATAAAGTAATCCCAAAAAGGAGCCAAACGACAAAAGCTATCAAAGCAAGACTTTGGAGCACAGCAGCAGCCACTAGGACCAGCATGGTGAGGCCAAGCTGTCCTTAGTCGAGCCAAAGGTTGGAATCTCTGGAGGCGAGCGCAAAGAGCAGAGGCGGTTTAGGGTTTAGAGTTTAGGGTTTAGGGTTTAGGGTTAAAGGTTTAGGGTTTAGGGTTTAGGATTTAGGGCTTAGGGTTTAGCGTGTGGCGATTCAAAGGTTTGGCAGGAATCCAGTGCATCTGAAATCCGGACATCGTGATGAAGACTGAAAACCGTCCACCCCACTCGTTCACCGTCCTGGCTCAAGTGCCAGGAAGCCCCAGTCGATTTAAAAGCGCTGCATCAGCACTATTGAATTTAGGAATTCTGCGTGATGCTGGAAGGCCGAGGGGGCCGTGAGAACCAGGTTAGAAGTGAAGCGTTCCAGCAGAGTGGACTTCAGGTCAATTTGCTTTAACCCTCTGTCGGCTCCGACTAGGACACAACGCTAACCTAACCAAACCCTGCACCCCAAACTACTCAAACCCTTGATACAGGGTCCTCAATAATTCGAACCGTGTTTTGTGGCATACTATAATATAGCTATATTGAGGAACTTATATCAGGCCCCTACGTGAGGATTATTTTTGATGGCTTATCATTCAGGCCACTACGTTACACCAAGAAGGCAAACGTCGACCATGTGCAGGGAAGTGGCCTCCGAACATCACTGGGCCCAGGTGAATTGGGCAAATTGTCAAATCCTGACCAGGATGCAGAGATACGGTTGATGATATAAATCCTGCATTACCCATGATAAGGAATATACCATAACTCCCATTGTTTAGGGTCCTTAAGCTAATGCAGGATTTATATCAGCAGCAGCAGGGTTTAGGGTCTGATGTAGGATGCCGGGCTTTGGGTCTTCAAGAACCAGTGGGCCTTCCGGAATTAAAGGGGCTTCTATGACAGCCAGGCGGACTTCTACTACCTTCAAACCAGCAGACACTAATGCCATAAGAGTGTCCCTTCTCTGCTCCCTCCGGCTGTGTAGGAAGGCGCTGAGCTCGAACATGCACCACAATCTGGTCCTGAGCCATGACTCAAGGAAACAAAGAGGCCTGAAACATTAGACTAGACACATGTTGAGGGAATTTTAAGGCGAGTACATGTTCCGGAATTATACAAGGGCTCTTGGGGATATTGCTGCGACTTATTCATACTGGAACATCTTGGCACCCACGGAAAGGTCTGGTACTTCCAAGGGGGGTTGAGGGATATGGGTGGCGGATCAAGGGTTCGGAGCTCGGACCTGCGGCAGCCGGGTATCAAAGTTGTCATAGCCTAACAAGGGCCTTAATGATTAGAATAGGGCTTTGGGGCCCATTGCTCTACAACCATAACACGGAACACCCAAACTAGTATTGGTAATTATTAAGGCCCCTATAGTACCAAAGTTGTCATCGCCTATGTGTACAACTGCCGGCCCAATAGGAAGCCTGCACGATCTGTGGCTAGGCCAGCACTACCTCTGCAATTCGGTCACAAGTACTTGCCCTGCAATTATGTATGGTACTGAAAGTTACTGGGGGCCATTGTGACTTTCACAAGAAACTTAACGGCATTGCAAGACATGTAGGACATGTTCTTGCTGTTCTTGCCGGAATGGTTTGGTGCGAGTTGTCAGAGACGAGTGCTCCTACTTGGGAAAACACTGGCATAGACCGCTACCTGCCACAGTACTTAAAGGTTCATGGGACTTAGTAATTAGGGTCATAAATAAGGTAACTATACTTATAACTTATAACCTCAATTAGGGTTATAGATAAGGTAACTATACTTATAACCTCAATTAGGGTACTTATAGCCCCATGAACCTCCAAGTAGGCCAAGTGTCACATATGTGCGATCCCACAGGACCAGCATGGACTTCGAGCTCTTCAGGATGCCCCCCATGCTCACGACTGCTTCTGCTTTTAGGGCCTCATCCGACTGCATCACGCAGGCACGGTCCAGGAACACCATCCGCCGTCGTGGGAAGAGAAGCAACGTCAGATAGTACGCTGCGTTCCCCAGCCTCGGCTAGATGCAAGGCGACGGAAACATCAGAACACCTGGACCAACGCGCCTTTCTTGCGTTTTCTGTTTGAGAAACTGAAACCCACCACAAACGGCAACTCTGCCATAAACAAATGCGAAGGAACAGCGTGCACCAGCGGCATTCGTGATGAGAACCATCCTCCCAGTGGGGGAGGACGCCGGTCAAGAAACCGAGGGCGCCAAGAAAGGCACTCAGCATTCCCACCACGAGCGCCGGTATGACGTTGTTGAGGTACAAGATAGTAACATACCTGCATGAGCATTTCTTGCAAAGCTAGGGTAGCTTTTTGATGTACCCGTCTGCGTACATGTTTGCAAGTCAATGCAGGCCGTTCAAAAGGGATCCTACAACGCCAGTACAGGTGCTTTGCACTTAGAATGCTGTAGAATAGGGTCTTTCCGGGCATGCGAGAATGTAGTGTTGCGGGGACTATGAGGGGAAGGTATCACCAACTATTCGGCTCTCGCTTTGTACAAAACTGCAAACCATGTGACAACATCTTCAGATGCTGGTTCAACTCAACTCTGAAGTCTTAACTAAGCTCTAGACCCTAAACCGGGCCCGGAGGCGGGAAGCAACTGCAGAACCCTGAATAGTAGGATCCTCTTTGAAGGACCCCGAGTTCAGGTATACCAAATGAGACAGCGACCGGGGTTCAGGTAACCCAGAGGCCTTGATAACTTGATTGTTTTGGGGCACTTCTCGCCAAACCACTATAAGAAGCTCCAGGAATAGTCATACCAATTGTTCCGAGCGGTATATGGCTGGGGCTGAGCTAGGACACTTCTTCCACAGCGGAGCACGCCAGCTGTGAGACCAGAACCTCGCGGGTGCATCGCTCATATTCCGAAGCCATGGGGATGTCCCAAAAAAAGTGTCTCTTGCTGGACAGGCTTAAAAAACAGATCATGGTTAAGCCCTAATCATGTCCTCCTCGATCGCATAAATATCTGATTATTTTGCATATATATATATGTGTATACATTAAATATGCACATACACAATTAAACATGCAAGGCCCCATATACATGTACATATATATATATATATGGACATACATGTACATAGACATATACATATACATATGCATATACATAGACATATACATGCATGCATGCATGCATTGCATTGCATTGCAT